CGCACACACACACACACACACACACACACACAGGCGCGCGCGCGTGTGCGCGCAGGGTGCTTTGTGTTTGCTGAACATCCAGAATGATTGTTGTGTTGATTGGGTGTTGATGGCGGCCTTTTCCTAGATGAGTGTTTTGATGGTCCGGATGCAAGCGCCAAGATTCATCAGTGCTTTGTCGGGCTTCTTGCTTTTGCCCGAGCCCTGGGATGTTCAAAATCTATGTGGGCACTTGTCAGGCGTGTTCCACTGACCTAGCGATTGCGAAGGAAAATCGATTGGACCTTCCCACCCCCCCCCCCCCACCCCGCACTTTGCACACGTGAGAGCTGTGAGCAGGACCTGGACCACGTCTTGGTGAAGCTGCGCTCAGACTTGGAGCCTTTAGAGCCCCTGCCAGCCATCCTCAAGGGCTCCGTGCACCGCGCGAGCTTTGTTTGGGACGGCTCCGCGATCAGCTCGAACCTGGGCTTCAGCACTCACTTGCCCAACGCCGACTTTTTGATCTTCTATGTTTCCATTTTAGGCAAGCGAGAGTTTGTTGCGTAGTTGTGCAAGGATCTTTTATGTAGTTTGTGGCGAGCCGGAACAACCAGCTCACCATGATAAGGTCCCTTACTTGGGGATTCCTTTCTTCAGAATGTGAATCATATGTGGACCACTTGTGCAGTTTTGCAACTAATACACACACATTGCCATTTGGCTCAAGATCATGGTTTGCTTCACAATCGTTATTGTGAATCACACTAGCAAAACAAAATCGAGCTCGCGGACGGCTTCGAGGATATTCGAGGCATTGCAGGTTTTCTGGAGGACAACACATCCACTGTTGTCGGGGATACCAAAGAAACCCCTCGGCTTCTCAGGTTATCAGCCGCAGGGCTTGCCCCACGCGCAGTGCGACAAAAGATTGATGCGAAGCGAGAGGTCCTTGTACCCAGCCTTCATATTGTATCAATCAATGGCGCAACGCTTACGTGACAATGTCCGATGGAAGATCTTCGATTACATTTGCGGCACCTGCTGCATCTCAAGGGACACCGGAATCAGCCGGTCATGGGAGCGGAGACACTATCGTGGTAAGTGCTGGGCCAGCAGAGTGATGCCGGCGCGGATCAGGCCATGGGAGCAAGGACTTCCTCCCGATCAAGAGTGCCGTCAGAAGAAGACGATGGACGGACACAAATCCGTAAACCTCTACAAAAAGTTCCCCAAGTGACCCCAGAAGTGCGGATCGACAACTTGATGAGGAATTGCGGAAAACCCAACGGAAATCAGAATTACAGATGAACGAAGCTGCGGAGCAGCATGATGAGAACAATGCACTGAAGGCGGAATGCGCATCGTTACGAACATCTGTGAAAAGCCTGCGAATCTGATGAGGCGGGAAGCCTTCAAAGGATTCTTAGGCTTGAGAGAACGAATCATACCCTGGAACCCCAAGTTGCGCATGTTCATGGAAGAATGAGAGATGAATACAACTTGGCGATGGACCAGCTAAATATTAAAGCAAGTAGGCTGAATGAGCTTGAGGCCACAACAGATGCGAACGGAGAACAGTGAGATCCCAGCTTCGCTGCGGAAAGCGATCGAGACTACCAATGAATATCAATCCATGATCAACACGGGTACCGAGTACCGGACTAGGTTGAGCCATGAGAACGAACAGCTTCGAGAAACGACGAGGCAAGAAGAGTCGGCGACGCAAGCTGCGGAACTGTACCACAACAACATAGTCGCCAATAAAGATGGGCAGATCCAAACCTTGAGGGATCAAATACAACACTTGTCCGGAAGCTAGTCAAGGGAAGAATGGTTCCGATCTACCGAGAAGCTGGCCGATCAGAAGGCTGAAGCCATGAGGATTCAAAGTTGAACGACGTTGAGACTAAAGCCAAGCTGGAAATGGCCTCCACCCTGAGGAGTGAGATATCCGAAGCCAGGAAGGGGAGTCACGGCGTGCCGGTCTCTACCGAAATGGCGGAGCAACCCGAACTGATGTTCTTCTCTGGATCGAAAGCATGGCTCAGAGTCAGTACGGTGCTCTTCAGAAATAATACGAGTCAATGCAGCAGTTCAATGACAATCTCCATGAGAAAAGCATGGGAAGTCTAAAGTCTGAAGAATTGGCCGCCACAGACAAGAAAAAGGCAGTCAATGATAAAGGCTTGAAAGGCAGAATCCATAGCTCAAACTGGGGACGAGGAGACTTGTGACAGGCTCAGGAGCCACAGGAATGAGTTACCGGAAGAACTTGACGAAGTGACCGAGCGGTACGATGAGCTAGTCAAAGACCAATCGGCCGAACTCCCCAAGTTCGGGGATGTGACCACACCACCAGCAGGTGTAGTACCGAGGTTGAGGAGTCAATCGCCCAAAGGATGGCGCTTTTCACATCCTTCTATCCTACATGGAGGCAGACGACAGGGACAAGGTGGAATGGGCCGCGGCTCAGAACTACCTCCTTACTTTGTTGTTCTGTTGCCACAACCTGGCACGAATCGGGGGTAACTTTTACCTTGTCTCTTTACGAAGCCGAGGAGGGTTGAGCAGGAATGTTGGCTGGAACATGGGCAACATGATCTGTCCCGTCGACGAGAACCTCAATCCCAGGGGTGAATTATTGATGCAGCTGACGAGGTGCTGCAAGAACAGCATCAAGGGAGCAGTTGAATCGATTCACCTGTGGATATCGTTGGTGGACGCCATGGAGTGGAAGAACAAAGGTGGGGAGTACTATGTGATCAAGAGCGGCATGGAAGAATATTTCGTTCGATGTGCTGAGATCATCAACTACAGGCCCCACGACCAATCATCATCACCATCAACACGACTGCCGACATCTTCGCGTTGAACGAACCCTTGAAGCGCTATGCGGATGTGATCATAGCTGGCGTCAAACCGCCGGCCCTTCAAGTCCCAAGCATTTTGGAAGGGCGTCCAGCGGTGCCGGGGAATGGGCGGCAAAGTGACAACGGGGACCGAAGGATGTCCTCGACAGGCGGCTCACGCGAGGACGAATGTTGACATCTACTATGTTGAAGTCCAAGATCTTGGCGAATCGGTCAGAGAAGGAGAAGGAGGTTATGAGATCGACAGAAGTGAGCGGACTCAATTCTTCGAGTTTCCGATTTGAACCCGTGACGGAAGACCTGAAGGAATGCATGGCCGAGAGATCATGGACGGCAATTGAGGTGAACTCGATCGCGCTGGAACTCCGTGACCGCTTGTTTGGCTCGGTAGTCCACGTGAACGACGTGACTGAATACCTCTGCAACCACTGCAAACATGGAGAAGAAGGAAGCCTTGTGAACAATGGTCACCGAGAGCATTGCATACCCTCTGCAGGAGCAGAAAGCTTCGACGGGTATGGGAACAAGAGCGAATACTTCCGTATGGCGGCGGGCAAGGGGAAGACGGTGTATACTGAACTATACCACCGCGTCGGGCGTATTACACCTTGGCGTTCGGATTATTCAGTTGTCTTCTACCATGACGCAGGCAATCGGGCTTATGCCGGGTTGGGCCGAGATGTTTGAACCCCATCACCTATCGATATTGTTCGGGGAGACGCGGAACGAAAAGATCAAGGGGGACGCCATTGAAGCAGTACTCGGAGCGCTACGTGCCATGTCTCGGTATTCTTGGTGTTGCCATCCTTCTCATCTATGGACAGGACTACCGGCACAGCATGCCACCCAACAACTGGAAGGGCACAAAATCCAGGCCTTGTTCCTTCCGAGGTTCTGACTCTGGAGTGATGGTCCCGTCTGAGGGTGACGGAGGAGTGAGCGTTCTACGAATCACTCTGCCGAGGTCATGTTGAAGGTGATGCATTTTCCACTCTCTTCGATGAAAGCCGGAGTTGGGACTGACGACGACAAAGATGTTGTCATGCCAACCACAACGCTGACGCCAAGTTCATGGAGAAGGTGAAGAAGGATGGCAATTCGGGTCATTACAGCTCTGTGACAGAAGGACTCCGGAGTCTGCCAAGCTATGCATTCTAATTCTGCTGGATTACGCCGAATTTGGTGTACCATAGTTCGGATCCCATCCATTCCCGAAGCACCTCATCAGGAAAATGGAACATCAACAGATTATCAGCCTTTCCAGGGAGTTGATCAAGTATGTGAGGCACAGGCACAGGGTTGGCAAGCCTGTCAATCCGGGCGACGATCGGGGCAGGAGCGGCTGCAGTGTGACGATGCCGGAGCTTCCACCACATCATGGCACATCTCAATGATGATCAATCCAGGACTGCTGAGTGAGGGGGCGGCGGCGATATGCATTGAAAAGCTACGGGAGGAGGTTTGCAGACACTCGTCGCTCGACTTCGAGGTGTTCAATTATCTGTTGGAGGTTGGAATTTGAGGACCGGGAACGATTTGGTGAGGAATTCAGGCTGAACAAGGCGGAGCTTGACTGGATTTTCGAATCATGTTATGGATTGCATGCTCCACTCGCGGTATGTGCGACGTACAATCACACTCCGTTCGTTTACCAGAACGCTGCCAAGCACCTATGGCCGATAGACGAAGGCTTTGCAGATCACGCAAAGGGATGCTACTATGTCATCAACGTCGGCGAGTTGGAGGATGCGATGAGGTACAGCCTCAAGACCATCAACCCCGACGGGTGTGTCGACAATTTCTTCTGCATCTACGCGCCATGGACGGTTCTGGGAGCCAAGCGGTTTCGTGGACAATTGATTGTACCGATTCTGATGCTGTTTCTGGTGATTTGTTTGATTGCATATGGAGCATATGTGACGCAGACCGGTGCTTCCGTTCGAAGAAGTGATGGGTGTGTGGTGAGGTTCGCGACCTCGAGGTCGTGATGTTGCCATCCTTCGTAAGGGAAATTCCTGGCGTGTACCTCTATGTGGAATCTCCGGAGTGCACTGAGGCCAAGTTCAAGGATATCCATGAGCTACAAATGGCCGTTGGGCATTCCATCGGAGAGAGAGAGAGAGAGAGAGACTGATCAAGGTTGCAAGAAGTACGAGAAGGCGTTGTCCGACCTCAGGAATTACGTCATCCTCAACAACACGCCGGAGGAACGGTGGTACGGGCTGCAGGTGAGTCCCTCCTGTTTGCACAGTACGCCGAGCGCGTTTACCTACTGCCTGATGTGCGACGGCTACTTTATTTCTCACGGGGTTATTCACTTCCCCTATTCCTTGCGCCAGAACGTGTCCGCCCAGGAGGCAGCCAAAGAAGTGGATGCGGACGACCTCCGGAGGATCGCGAAAAAAGCCACCGAGAAGGCCAAGGATGAAAAGGATGAAGAAGAACTACGCACTCAGCCCAAGCCACACAAGGAGTATGGCAAATCCAGCTCCAGGACGACGACGACGAAAGAGGTGAACACGAACCAGAAGTCGGACCGTTTGGCGCAGAGACCAAGCGGAGGGCGAGATGCGTGGACCCGCTCGTTGAGGCCACATCGGGCCACATGGCTGTCATCAGGCTGTCCGGAAAGAATATTTCCAACATACACCGCTACTGGGGGCCTGACAACGAGACTCGCGACCGGCGCCTGGTGTTGAGAAGTACACGTTCTTCCAATCAAGCATGGATGGAGTCAAGGGCGGTAAGTACATCCCTTGCGACCGGTTGTGTATGGCAATGGGCGACAAGACAACATCTCCTTTTGATGAACTATCACGGGATGCATTCCAGTCCGGTTCTTCGAGGTCAATGAAACAATTACAACCGACTGAAGGAGCAGGGGCTGACCATCCAGACCCGAATCGCGCTGGCTGACGGGGAGGTGACGATCCGACCAATTATGGAAGCAGAAGAAGAAGGGATGGGTGAGAAACCGAATCGGATCAACGGAAATAGACGGAAGCCAATCTCCCAGGACCCCCAGACCTCCCCCGACAGAACGGAAAAAGACGGGAACGATCTGGGAATCCCAGGTCCATTAGCCCGGCTGACCGGAACGCTGAGCCCTCTTCCGGATCATCGCTGCTGAGGAGTTGTTTGCTTGAGGGCCCATAAGGTGTGGACCAGCCGGGCCCTTCGGGGCTGAGTGGGCGAGGAGCTGATGCGCCACTCTTCCACATCAACAGACGGGTGAGGCAGTGCCGATGTGTCTGCTAGGGGGTACAGGAGCCGCCAACGTTATTGTACCATTCTATACGGATGATCGCATGGTCACGCCCCTCCTTTCGGGCTTTTCCTATTATCGATACCCTTGCCGAGGTTTGGGCACATTTACGGGGAAGACGTTACCGTTCATCGGAACGTTGGTACCCAGTGCTACTTTTCTCATTTGGTCATGTCCAGATTCCGCTAGAGTTTGTGCACTGCTGTATCTGCAGTATTTGAGCGTCTCACGACTCGATTATGGCAAGTCAGAAAATAAGTTCAATATAATACGTGATTGAGCCGGCATGTTGTGTGGGTCCGGGACGAAGTTTCCTTCCACAGATCATGCTTTGCTTCACAATCGTTATTGTGAATCATACTAGCAAAACAAATCGAGCTCGCGGAGGGTTTGCGGCTTCGAGGATATTCGAGGCATTGCAGGTTTTCCGGAGGACAACACATCCACGGTTGTCGGGGATACCAAAGCAACCCCTCGGTTTCTCACAGAAAATGGACAGGCTGTAAAACTTGGAGGTCGGTGATCGAGGATCTTTGCGGTGGAGTCGGCCTCTTTGTAGTGTGGCCACGTTGCGCATGAAGAATGCATGGCCGAGTGGAATACATTCAAGGCTGCCTTCCCACTTGCCGCCGAAACTCTTTCTTCGAGCGCTAAGGATTACATTTCACCTGGCTCGGCCCTTCCTGGGCGCTACTCCTGTGACTCACTTGCCCAAAGCCGACCCTTTGACCCTTTTGGTTCCCCTTTTTGGCACTGGTTGCTCCACAATTTTTGGCAAAGGTCCCACAAGCTTAACCTATTATTTCTGGTTGCGTTGGGCAACAGAGGTGATGAACTTGGTTTTGAAACCAAGCTCCTTCCTTGTCCTCGGCCCCTCCAGCAGTGGAAAGACAACAATGCTTCGCCATGCAGCAACGGTGGCTTTGAGCAAATGGTGCCTCAAGCGGGGACGAGACTTGAGGTCAACTGGCAAGGGGGCCAGCTTGTTCGCTAGAACAGATGGGTTGCAACGAGAGGAATTCATGGATTGCCTTGCCACCAGTGGCGGATAATTTGGCCAAGTAGCTGCCACATGCTGCCACTTCAAAAGAAAGCAGTCAAGCGAGGTTGTGCCAGGCCAGTTGTCGAATCTGGCAACTGAGGTTTTGGCAGAAAGGCGTCAAGTTCTGGTGGTGGATCCTTCCTCAGAGCTTGGTGGGCGGTGCGACATGAATCTGCTGGGCGCAGCAAGGCGCGCAGTCCCAGCAGCCATGGATTTGACGTTTCTGCGCCAGATCATCGCCGACGAGAGCCCAGAAATCCTCATCACGGAGTTCGCCAGCGCGGAGTTGGCAGTGCAAGCGGCCCACCTTTGCGTCGACTCGGGCGTGTGCTTGCTGGGCTCCTTGAGGGCCAGCCTCCCTTCTCTGGCGGAGGCAGTCTCCTTGAACCAAACGAAAGGGGGTCTCAAATAAACGTGGGACATGGCCTGGATGTGATATCCGTTTAAACCGTGGTAGTTTTGAGCACGTCCTACTGCAATGGCTCCAGTTCGCAGGCGTACTATCGCTTCAACCTCTGCCCGCAGCTCGCGGCATGCACCACTTTCCCGCTGGCGGCCCTCGTGGTGCTCCACCGGCGCTTTGACACCTGCGAGGCCGCGCCCGGCGCTTGTATCTTTGTTTGGTGGGTGAGTGGGTGGGTGGGTGGGTTGGTTGGTTGGTTGGTTGGTTGGTTGCTTGGTTGGTGGGCGCGGGGGTTGTTTGGTTGCTTTCTTTGTTTGGTTGTTTGGTTGTTTGGTTGGTGGGTGTGGAAACCACTGCGGCCTTGTGTTTCCACTGGCTCAGGCTAAACTGCCCGACCTTGCAGGTGTATTCTGCTGCGCCCGCTACCGTTTGCTGCATGTCGTCCTGCCGGCGGCCAGCTTGCCCAGCACATCACCGTGGAGACTGCGTGCAGCGGTATCCTACCGTAGCGCGGCGACACGAGGAAAAACAAATCCGACCGCAGACTGGCCAGCTTGGCTCCTTTCCATCAGAAGCTGAGCTTTCGGTTTAGGGGGCCATACGCCTTAAAAGATACATGTTGCCTTTATGAAACATGATTTTTCAACAAAAATGAAAAGAAACCACCAATGGCAAGGCAATGTTCAGGTGTATAATCCGCGGCCAGGCCCATTCGGCTGCTTTGGGCAGCTGCTGCGTGCCCTGGGCGGGAATGGGCGTGTTCCAGGTTGGGGAAGCATGACCTGGCCGTGGGTCAACACCACTGGTGCCATTTTGGGGCAGGAGCACCACCGAAGAAAAAAGTCTAAGGAAAGTGGGGAAAGGTCACGGGGTACGGGATTTTGACCTATGGCCACCTGGCCAGGGTCAGGAAAATGGCACCCCTTTCAGTCAAGGTGTGGCTAGACTTTTTCTAAGGGTTGATTCCCCATTCTTTCGTCACACGTGCACTCAGCGCAACGATCGGTCTTTCCAGCCGGTTTTGGCTCAGTTTTTGTTTTTTTCTGCAGCGAGCACTGACGCACGCAGAAAGTTGTCCCAGGGGTAGGGCCAATAGACTAGACAACCCCTTCCCCTGACCTGCCAAAGTCATGCCGCTGCAGGCCATCGATCTTACTGGCAGCGTTCTGTTTTCAGGGCATTGTTCTTTCCCTACAACCATCGTTCTTTCGCCAGGGCCAGCGTTCTTTCCCCAACCATCGTTCTTTCCCAACAACCATTATAAATTTTTCCCTTCTTTCCCGACCCCATCATTCTGTCCCCCAGCATCGTTCTTTCGATCAAAGATCAGTGTGTCCCTGTTACTTTTTTTTGTTTTTGCATCTGTTTTGGGTGAAAATTGGAAAACCAGAAAGAATGGGGAAGTATTGTATGAAGCCATATTTTCGGTTAAAACCCATTCTTTCCAAGCATCCAATTTTCTAGGATTTCCGGTCTTTCCTCCCGAAAGTGATGACAACTGCTGCGTGGGCTGCTGCGTGGGCCCCCATTGAAAGAATGAGGAAGTGAATTGGAAGCTTGTGGAGAATTGGATCGCGGGCACCACTTTTGTGGGTTGACTGATGAGGGGCCCGCTGTGCCATCAGGAGGATGCTTGAATGCTTGCCGTGAAGCCACGGGCTTTATGTTTGTCAGTGTCGCCTTGGCAATGATTCATGACATGGATGTGTGCAAAATAGGAAGGGCAAGGCTGACCGCCCCTGCTTGGGAGAGGCCTGGTGGGCTGCTGGGAGTCGGCAAAGGGAGAGAATGGGAACAGTTGAGTTTTAGCCTTGCTTGGGTGGACTGCTTCGATGGCAATTGTTGTTGCATCCATTTCGGGGGATAATTGGGTTAGCTCTTCAGAATGGGGTGGTGTGGCTTAGACTTTTAGGGAACGCCTTTCAATTGCTCGCTGGGGCTCCAAATGCACATTCGGGTTTGGGTCATCTCCGCGCCCCCGCCGAAAAGCTCACTTGCCTATTGCAACGTAGAACCGGCAGAGGTGTGTGACTGCAGGATTGGAACGAGACACATTCGAACGTTTCGTGCTTTGGTTGGGCAAGATAGCTTCCTCCAAGAGGAAAGCGGTTTGGATGCGCTTTTTGTGGATTTCACCTGTTCTTGCCCCTGCTGGTCCTTTTGTGTGCTGCATTTGTGGTTTTTAGTGGAGCCCGCAAATCCAAGTTGTACCCAGCCAATAGCAGTCTTCCTTTCTTGGCGTGAGAGCCGGGCAGATTCTCCGAAGGAAGCAGCCAGGCGCCTGAGGATTCCTCAACGGCTTTGCGAAAAGCCAAGCCGAATGTCTTGTTCTTTTTTGTCATCCCAACCCGTTGGCCTGGAAATGTGCAGCAACTCACATTTTTCAGACGCCCCACCTTCAAAGGGGCGCCTTGGAGCCGAGCTTCACTTTTTGGAGTCTTGCGGAACTCATGCTCAAAACTGAGCCCCAAAAGTCAGGGCATGAATGAGCTCCTGTGTCCCATCCGATCCAGCACATGCGCGTACGCACGGCCACACTTACGGACTTGGCTGCGCGGCTTCCCTTCCGGCACTCATTCAAGGTATTGCGTCCAACTTCGATGACGTAGCTCGGCTCGGGGTGAGTGGTGGAACAATGGGGTGTCCAATTGTATACTTGACTTTTCGGGGAAACACACCCTGTCATTGCAACATTTGGGGGGCATGGTGTGTTTGTCTGGCACGAGCTCACGGCTACTATCTCTGGCGTATTATTTTGACTGTTTCTGGGGGTGTTGGAAGTCAGAACATGGGGTGATTGCCCTTTAACCAAAGCGGGTGACTTTGATCATGGTAACATGAGGCCAGCATCTCTCGGCCGAAGCTCGCGGGTCTGAACAGGCTGAGCGTGGGCCCAATGTCCGCCTCACGGTGGAGGGCCAGCCGGAGGTCTTGGTCCGCTTCAGCCAGCGTGGCTTGAACACGGCGGGCTCCGCGCTTCGGACGACGGTTGCGTCAAGGGTTGGGCAAGTTTTGGATAAACAAACGGCCCCTCGTCCCTGAGAGAGACCAAAATGAGGTTCTTATTCAACAATAGGCGTTCGAACATGATATATGAAAAGGGGTTGGCCCAATGGGGCAGGGGTGGGGGGGGGGGTGGGCGCTGGGTTCTTGTCAGCGCCCGTGAACATCAAGTAAGAGGCTGATGATTGTGATAGATCGGTTTTTAGAACCGCTGTATGTTCTGTTGTTTCCGGGTATTTCCACCAGTTTCAGGTCAAGAAAGAAAGCAAGTGTGCACACAAGCAAGCAATCGCAAGCAGAAGGCGGATGGCAGGACTGAGGGCAAGGTCACAGCCCGAAGAATGAAGATGGACAACAATAAGTGGGAGAAATAAAGCAATTTCAGGTGTTGTTGTTTGATGTTTGTTGTCGTTTTTGTTTGGCTCGCAGGGAGTTGGAGCTGTGCCCTGAAATGCTCTACTTTCAGCTTGGCCCCCCCGTTTCCTCATCCAAGAACCACGCGTTCAAGGCCAATTTCAGGTCTGGATTCTGGAGGTATGGAGATTATATATGCCGATCAGGGGGCACGCGCTGCGTTTGAGTCTTGTACTAGGTCCCCCAGCTAGGTGCCCGTTCCCACCCCTTTTTTGGTTGGGAGGGTTCCTCTACAAGAAAGAAGTTTATTCTAACCTCTGATAGTGGAGGACCTAGTATAGTTCCTGGTGTGTAGCCCTAACAACCATACCTGAAAGTGCTCTTGAATGGTGCTGTCGTCTCATTTTTTGGACCTTCACTCTTGGCGGGGTGGGCTCCAGGAGCTATGTGACGGTTTTGATTGGAAATGGACCAGCTTTTGGTAGTTCAAGGGCGCCGTTAGGAAACTGATTCCTTTTCAGCTGGGCCCCTTGGCCTTGCAACAAGTGGCATCTGTGCAAAGCATACACACGCAGACTTACATACACATACTCGGCTTGGAATATTCCGAGCGCGCAGGTCATCATTGGCATTTGGTGCGCTTGCTCTGCGCGGAAGTGTGTGGATTGGCTGCGGCGTGTGCTCTACGTGGGCGGGGATGCCGACACCGTGGGGGCTGTGGCAGGCTGGGTGTTCTTTGTGGATTGGTCAAAAACGTCCGCAATACATGGGATGACTCTTGGGGAAAAAACACAAAACGATGATATTTCCCACTTGGAGGCCGAACGGAGTATTGACTTGTATTGACTTGGCTGCTATCGGGTTGGACCTTTAGACTTTAACTTTTTGGGAAATCAAGCGGTTTTCCATTAAACCCCCAAAACGTTAAACAGTAAACATCACCTGTTTGGTTCATTTGCGGCTTGGGGTGATGTTTTAGCCAGAAATACTGCGAGCCATTTTTTCAGGAGGAGTGCCATGCTTAAATCGTGGGCGATTGTCTTGCAGGGGCCTCCTTGGTCGATGAATTGGAGTTTATCACCTGGGTCATCATGCTTGTTGTTCAAAGTGAGGAGATGCACCATTTTCCTGCTGCCAGGCTTCCTAGCCGGGGTGCCTTCCATGGCCAATGTTGTTTTAGTTGTCCAAAGGGAAGCCAGAAGCCAATGGATGATTTGTCTTATTTTTCCAGAGCCTCTATTTAGCACCCAGCCATCCTGAGTCCAATACTGACATCCAAGCGCCTGGAAAACGGTTTGCTTATAAGAGTCAGGCCAGATCGCTTGTCCGCTGCTACCCCTGGATGATGTCGTAGAAGCATACAAGCTGCTTGGCGCCAACGCTGGGGTTTCCTTCGCAGCTGGGTGTGTCTGGCTTCCTCGATATTTACTCTCTTCCAGCTTCATGTTCAGATGTGTTGGTTTTCATTCATTCCCTTGTGACGAGAGGGAAGGCAGAAGCTTTTGGTCATCTGACAATTGCACAGCAGGTATCGTCCTTGCGAGCAAAGGGCGCCAAGTGTTTTGATTAAAGGTAACTTTGTTGGGGGGATTGTTGAGGAGGAAGCAGGCGGTGGTTTAAACATCTCCCTGTCCCAGGACAGGGGGGGCTCCTTTCAGGGTGGTTTTATATTCTCAAGGGGGGATATAAGGAACTGGGAAATCGCAGATTCTGGGGCTCCCCCCCAACTTGAAAACAACCCCACCTGAAGCGTCCAGGTCCGCCAGCATGAGGAAGGGGGGAAAATAGCGAGGCGGCCTCAGGGGCATGACTGACGTTTGCTTAGTTGTTCTTTTCGCGGCTTGTGTGCTTCCTTGTGTCTTTGTTTCTTTGCCTTCTTGGCTTCCTTGCTTCTTTGCTTCCTTGTTTTATTGCTCTTTGTGTCCTTGTGCTCGATGCTTTACTTAGGTGACTGAGCAGGCTGCTAGATGAATTTGTTATTGGGCTACTCAACTAGTTGGCCAGTGGGTTGCTTGCTTGCTTGCTCTGTGGGCTCATTGGGGGCCTCCATGCTACTTGTACCGTGGGCTGGCGCAACGAGCGCGCCGTTTGTCATCCAATTCAGGTAATGGGGGGTCGGGTCCTTGGGTCCATGTAGGCGAAGCAAATACAAGTGGTGCATGGTTGAAGCCGAAGTGAAACCACTGGCATCTACAATCAAGCACCCTGACCTACGATAAGTGGGCGGCAGTGCCACGGAAAAAATGGCCCTTCAGCGTAGTGCTTGCGCTTGAGCTGGAAAAGTACAGCACCCACACGACGCCAATGTGGATGTTTTAATGGCCAGGCTGCGTTTTTCTGAGTTTGTTTCGCGAAGGGATGGCGCAACTCGGTTTGGGGCTTGCCTTATCACCTGGTGGATGTTGGTGAATAGCACCGACTCTCGTTGTCCCTGCAGGCCGGGGCAGAGATTTTCCTCCCGGCGTTTCTTGCCCCCCTTCCACAGCTTGCCTCAAAGGCCTCCAAGCAAGCAAGGACTCATGAGTGGGACAACACAATTCCCGCTAGCGTTGCAAGTGCCAGTTCCCAAACGAGACGGTGCAGCCACTGGATTTCAAGAAATCCCATTTCCTACAAGCGCATTGTTTGTGTAGAAGCTGTTGTCATCCAGCATCGCTCCTGGGAGGCCATTTGCCCGTACATGCAGTATACAGTTTGCGTGTATACACATGTATATGTAGATACACACATGTAGCACGCTTAAATGCATTTGCACACCCGCATGCACGCAGATGCGTGCATACTCTTGCAATAAGAAATTAGATGCATGCATTTGCAGTTCCCTTCGAATACATGTTCATGATCTAGATTTATATGTACATATGCAGATATATGTATATGCATCTATATAGATACAGCTATATTATGCATGCGTGCTTAGCATGTTCATTCACATGCGCACCACAAAGAACACATGACACGCATCCGCCGCGGCTCCCACGCTCGCTGAGCCGAGGCGGGCGGTGGCGTTGGAGGAGATGACCAGCAAGTCGGCCCAGGTGAACCAGCAGGCGGCGAAGCGCTTCTTCCAGAGGCGCAGGGAGCGGGGCCTTGCGGGAGCGGGGGGGGGGGGTGGTGGTGGTTTGCGGTTCGAAGTGATTTCGAGGATTTCATATTCCTTTGCAACGATTCGGTGGGGTAAGATGAGAGCGTTGATGATTGGCCTTTGGGGGGGGTGTTCCTTTTTTTGGGGGGGAGTGTAGTAACATGGTGTTTAATTTCCCAGAACGAAGCCGTGCAGACCGACAACACCTTCCCGGTTTGGGTTGGCAGGGTCAAACCTTGCAAGTGGCCAATTTACAGGGATTTCCATCTTGTGCCATTTTTGGGTGGAATATGTAATGACTCCTAGTTGGGCGCTGAACAAGCAGTCTGTGGTAGGTTAAACAGGGTAGGAGTTGCACTCATGGCTTCGTGCCCCCCTTGATTAAAAAGACTCGAGATATGGGATGGGAGGGTCCGTGATGGCCGTGGAAGTAGTTTGGACGAAAAAATGTGACTTCATCGAGTGGCGTCGGATTGCGACACCCCAAGGATGTCTCCCTTTAGTGGCATCTCTTAAACTATTCTAGCGGCGGCCTTCTTTGCGGCTATGAGCCGTTTGAGTGTCACTTTTCTTTTTACTGTCGCGAGAATCACGAGCTTCACACTTCAACCAATCGGGCACTGGCCATGGTCGTGCGAAATTGGGTTTTAGGGCCGCATCCTTTGATATCTTCTCTATGTTTCGTCAAGGTTCACCCATTTGATTTCCAGGCCACCGAGGATTGGTACAAGGGTACCCTCCGGCAATTCTGGAAAACCCCCAATTTAGAGACCACCGAAAACGTGGGGAGACTTCGATGTGAAAAGGGTCTCAGTTGTCCAAAGCCGATCTTCTGACCTTTCGTTTTTCTCATTTTGGTCCACATTTAGTCACGGTCCGAAAAGGTTAAGCAATTATTTATGGGTTTTGTCTTTTCTCTCAGTCATCCTTGTCATGGGTCTTTAGTTCGTTATCCTTTGAACCCTGCCCCCAAACACAAACAGTCACCACAATTTGAAGGACCATTTTAGTGGTGGTTGATCTAAATTCCCATCATCCACTGCAAGTGGGTGGGGGCAAAGTCCGAGTTATTTGTTTTCCACTTTCAGTCCTTGTCTTACTGTACCGCTATAGGGTTGAATCTTTAGGTTTTACCTTTTTGGATTCTCCCCATATTTCCTACCAGCAAACAGTTAAACTTCTTGCTGGGGGATCTATGGCGAAGCTTAGGTCCTTTGGGCCAGCCGGGGGACTCACTTCTGGGAGCCCAGGAGCTGCCTCTTCGTGCTGGCGGACTGGCCACAACTCTTGCAGACCCCTCGCCTGATAGACCCCGCCTACGACACTCGGATGGGCGCAAGCAAGGTGTAAACACATACGGGGTGCGGGGGGGGGGGGGGGTTTGCAGGGTTGTTGGGGGAACGATAAAGGCCCAGATTCTTGAAGTGGTTGCATTTCATGGGTATTTTCCTTTAAAGCGCCGCCCCCCCAAAGAAAGGAGCCCTCAAAGTTGCGACAGAATTTGCCGCGGGCAGGCCTGACTGCGTTTGGGCTCCCCGCATGGCACGTTTCGGGTGTGAGCCAAACAGGCGCTTTGTACCCGAAGCTGGTTTCAACACACACCAAGCTTACATTGCATCTGGGTAAGTTACAACGATCTCACCAGAGGGGTAAGATGAACTTACCCATGATGAAGGTCTTTTACTTTACTTGAATGCAATTTGTGATTCATTGCCCGATTTGGGGATTCCCAAAAGAAAGCCACAAGGGGATGGGTAATTGGCCCAGATTGCATTGATGTGTGTGCCCAGGAAGGCTTCACCACGGAGGACGGGATGCGTGTGGCCGGGCATTGCAGGACGCCCTGCAAGTTCGGAGGCGCGGGGACGGATGCCCCCCTCGGGCCCCACTCAGTCATCCGAACCGACCTTGTGAGTTTTTGGGGTTTACTGTTAAGCCACGGCCCAATGGTGACAGGTCTCAGCGGACAGATTGAAGTGGTGTTGTAAAGAGGACGCGTCCTCGCAAGTGGGAAGGAGGCCCGAACAGTGTGCAACATAGGACGCCGGTAAGTTTGGGTAATTCAATCCAAGCTTTTTGATGCAGAGGGGCTGTTGTGGGGGGGCAGGGCATTGCTTGTAGAAAGGGTCCTTCATTCGGTCATATTTGGTCGGGTTGGAGGTGGGGGCTGCGCTCGCAGCATTTTGTCCAGGCACACGTTGCCATTGAGGAAGAAGAAGCCATCCAATGCTTGGCCCATTGGAGACACATAGGCACGACCCAGCCACAAGGAACGAGTTGACATCCTGTAAGGTATCCTGGTACGGGGGAGGTGCCCCTTGATCCATCAAGCGACAGCTTTACGCCACTGGCACACCCGGGCAAGTTGCATGTAGCAGGATCGTTTCTGCTCCAGGCAAGTGCTATGAGAAGAAGCCAAACCACCGTGTTCAGTGGCTTGGCAAAGAGGGGCATTGCAGTTGCCTCGTCGCAGGTTGGGGCTCTTTGCCCCCAAGAAAGAATCAAAGTGGAAGTGCCTGTTTACGACTTGGGCTTCATGACCCGGTTTTGGAAGCAGACACCCGTGCATTGCAGGGTCCCGGCCGGCTTCATTGCTAGAGGTCATCCGCAAAGCGGCGCCCAATGCAAACAACTCCTAGAAGAAGCTTGGAGTTGGTACGGGTTTGGTCAAGGCCGAAGCCCTTTTTTGCGCTTTTTTTTTTCCGCGTTGTTTTGCGGGCATCTTGCAGCTTTGACCTTGTGACTTGAAACAGCGCGGCGCCTCGGGGGCTGAGGTATTCGCACCCCGGAGATGAAGATTGGCAGCGCCTGCCCTGTCGCTATGCCCGCTGTCGTGACGGTTCCGGAGGATCGGCTTTCTGGGGGTTCCATGGGTCGCAGAAATTCCACGGAGCTGTTTTTCCGGACTTCCAGACCAGCGCACACTTCCGAACTCGTTTTGAAAGGAACGACGTCCCTTGCTCATGGGAAGCTTTGGAGTTCTGAGCTGGAAATAATTGAGCGCTGCTGGCTGTGAGAAGTGGGTGCGTTGTGCGCGAAAATGAGGCTAAACATGAAAACATGAATTGGGGGGGCATGGCCCTGTGCATGAGTTCGGATGTGGGCAAACCACTTTCTGTCGCGACTCGGAACGGGCACAGGAACGTGAGCACCACGCGCACTGTTTTGCAAACCATTAAACGGTGAGCCCTTTCTGCACTTTCCCAGGGTCGACAATTGAAAGCTCGCTGTTTGGTTTTTAGTTTGCTCATGGCAAGCATGCAATTTGGAACCCTCTGCGGAGTCGGGTTGACCTTCCAAAAGTCGTTGCTTTTCGTGTTTTCTGCGCCCCATTGATAAGAAGCCATGCTCTCACTTGAGCCTTGGCATGCGCTGGCAGACCATGTCAGTTTTTGTGCCCGTCAGGACACCAGCATCTTGGACTTGATTCAGGTGGTTCCGGGAAAGGATTCAGAGCGTGAGTGCCTGTAGGTCTATACAAAGAAACAAATAACATGGCCGCGGTTTTCGTTTGGACCATGTAATGTAGGTCGGTGAAAAATGATGGCTGTGGTTTGCGTTTGGCCCCAACCATTCGTTTTGGGGCCATTTCCTGTAGATTTTTGTGGACCAAAAGCCTTTGAGTTTCACAAGCTGTTGGCAGGGCTGAGCAGCTCAGCACCCGTGTAATCTTCAGGCAGCAGTCGTTTTTGCAAACTGGCTATCACCGTTGGTCAAACTTGCGATTGATAACCCCCTTCAAAGGGAAACCGCAGAGGGTTGTTTGAACAGGTACCCAGCCGAGAATTCCGGATGAACCTTCCTGTCTGCTTTCTCGGGTGCCATCCTCAGAAAAGAATGATCTCAACTTCAAACGAAAACCAAAGAACTGCAAGACGCCTGAACCACTAATTATCCCTTGCCCGCGCTGAAACTCCTATGTGGCACATGCATTTAGGTTCCTATATATATATATATGTGTATATTCACATCTCTGAGATATAACGTGGCCCTCCACCCACCAGTAGTACGTAGGCTTGTGGCACATATGGCTATCTCCGCAGATTTGGCTGCACCCAGGCTGGAGTTTAGCCACCCCGGCGACTACGACTGGGAGGACCTGCGAGCGGTCACCGGACGCCGCAATATTTGAGGCTACAGCTTGCCTGTGCTACATGGGTATGGCACGTAGTTGAATGACAGCAAATTCTTCTGCAGCGAGTCGCTGGCTTCATTGAGAGCACTGGAAAGGGGGTGCTTGCTTAGCAGTGCAGGCAGTTTTTCTGCCAGAATGTTGTCAAAGTGCCGAGCCTTGCGCCAAGCGCAAGCCAACGCTGTCGGCACGTCGCCTTTTGGGCTCGCCCGACGGCAGTTGGGCGAGCCAACCCTCGAGCCTGACAGGCTTGTCCCAAAAGCAGCCCGCAGCGATCAAAACAGCTCAAGCCATAGGGCCGTGCCTCAAGCGAAGTTTTGTGCCTTTGTGTGCTGGGTTGGTTTTGCGACAGGGCTCCTTGTCTGTTGCCACAGAACACTTCTTTCATGGGTCAAGGTAGCTGCGGGCTTGAGCGAGCACGCTCGTTTTCACGTAAGGTCAGGCACAAAATTGGACAACTGTCGGGGCATCGAAAGCAGATGCCGGGCTCAGAATATCCACTGAGGCTGGCCCGCAGGCAACTTCCGACTCTGACGAGGAGGAGGACCGGTATACGTATAGAAATACATATGTACTCACGTATGTTCATATATTTAGGCCTGGACCCTCCTAAAGAACTGTCCGTACATGTCCGAAAAAGAGCGTGCGTGCAAACTGTTTAGGACATTTGATGGAAATCTCTTTAGCAGGCTGTGAGCTTTTTGTGGTGTTGACGATGCATCTAAACACTGTTTGCAATCCATTTGGCCCCTCAGACTTAACTCCACTTCGTGCCCTACGTATGAAGCATATGGTGTGACAGTCCCTTGCCGCTTTTGCAAGTTTGCAGCTTCCTCGGCCAAAATGCAGAACTGGAATGGCACGGAAAACGGAAATCGGCGAAACATTTGCTTGGAGAAACGCGCACCTCTTGTCCTTGATGAATTCGCATGACAAGTGCCAGTGCCAGGGTCACAACTGAACGTGAGGTTCTTGTAGCAAACAGTGCTTGAGTGCTCAGGTGCTGCTTATTGTTGCGCGCAGAAACGGTTTGTGCTCAAATGTATGGATTTCACGGATATGCACTGGTATGTGCAGGCATTCGTGAACAATCCCTTGCGTATACATTTATGCTTACAGGTTTCCACGGTTCCACACATGTATACATTCCTAGGTTATATGTTAAGATGTGTGCACAGGTATGCCGCACACATGTATGTTTACATACCTGTCTCAAACGGAATACGTGTATACCTGGACCTTCCGGGAGTCAAACATTTTTGGCGTTGGCAAACAAACACGGGTGTTTGCCGTCGTCGGCGTGAAGCAGCGCTCTTAGGGCAAACCAAAACTTTGTTCGCGCCGCCGAACTTCGCCAGGCGGTCGGGAATTTTGCCTGTAGGCTCGGGGAATGTTTGCTTGGCACCCGAATTGCAAAAACGCCGCGGACAAAAATTACGCGCTGTTGCAAGGTTTTTTGATATGCATGTATAGTATTATGTTACATATGGCTGTCTGACTGTGCTTGCCAAGGCCGCAGTTGTTGGTGCAATCACCCATCTCAGTGCACGCCTAGATGCCAATGATCGCCGATCAACTGTGATCGTTTTCGTCTCTTCCAGCGGCTGTGCAGGGGCTCTGCCTTGGTCCATGGATCCTTGGCATGGGAAGCAAGAAGTCGAATCAGCCCCAAGATCGCTATCTGATAACCTTGTGTGGGTACTTGTTTGCAGTGTTGCGCCCCCTTGTCCTCTTCCCACCATCCCCGTAGAAAAGGGACCGACATCTTGGGGGCGGGCCCTTATCAATGGAGCCTTCAAGCCACGGCTGCCCTCTCATCCAAAAACGGGTATGTTCCGGTATGCCCTTTTTCTTTAGCCAACCGGCATGAACAGCCAGCTGTCCAAAAACAATACCCACGCTGGTTTCTTGCACGCGCCCATATGTCACACATCATACGAGAAAATATGCGGGAGCCCTACAACGAAAACATATTGTGTTTTGTTGGCTGTCATCAGTTTTCCATTTAAGCCGACCCCAAAAAGAGGGTACCGAGCCTCTCCCACGACGGCCTTAGGACGAGGTGACCCAGGCTCACCGGGAGTCCACAAAGCGGCGATTGAGGGAGCTGGGACAGTGGGGTGCCCCGATTCGGAGTTGGGGTTGGGTATAGCTTTGCCCTAGGCTGAGTCACGATTCCACATGTCGCGCCACAAATACCAGGAAGCAGTAGCTGCGCAGTTGGTCTCGCTGTAGCATGGGAGATCAGATCACGAAGGAAACCGTCATCTTCCACTTGCGGGTTGTGGGATCAGGTACTGAAAAGTTAGCTAACTCCCTGGGCATCTCAGCTGCTTTCTTCATAAGACTCCTCCTTCCCAGACTCACCCAAAACCCAGTTTGGCTCTAATTACATTACTCTTTTAAGGCTCCCTAAGTTTACGCCCTTCGAAGTAGCTCAGGCCCGTGAGCTACTTCGCGGAGACTGATGCGCAGCGGTGGGAGAGGCGCGGCTGCGCGCGGGAAAGGCCTCATGTCGCTGTGTTTTGTCAATGCGCCCCAAAGCGGGCTTGAATGGGCTTGACGTGACAAATTAGACCACTCCTGTCCCAAGGTTTTTGGGTTACTTTTGTAAAGACCTGGTTGTTTTACCGAGAAAGCGGCGGGCATGGTTCATGCAACATGCGTGTGGACGAAATTGCCTCGCCCGACGGTTGCGGAAAGGTTTCCTCGCGGAAGTTCCGTGGAGGCTCGTTGTGCTAAACAACATGAGTTGCAACAGAAGCCCAAAATGAACAACACTGTGGCCGCGGAAGCAAAAGTAACGTAACGAAAGCGTGCCTGCAGACGCAACGCTTCACGCCACAGAAAGCTTGGCGGAAAGGAGCGGAAGGTTGAACAATGACCTCAGCTTTGCAGCTCTGACTCGCTGCCGCTCCAACGGCAGTCTCGCAGCGCCTGCTCTTCCGCGCTGCCGAAGAACCTTACGGAGAGCAAAAAGTTGCAGCGTTTGCTCCAGGTGATCTGCGAAAGCAAGTGAAGGGCGGAGCGAATTGCGCAAGGGTTCCAGGGCGCTGCGCGCGCCTTGACGCCGGCGTTGCATGCTGAAGTGTGCGGGAGCCACTTTAGGAGATCATTTGTCGTGGACACCACGTTCTGCAAGCGTGGACATCACGTTCGGCAAGCGCTGGCTGACTCAAGCTGACACGGCGTCGCCCGCCTCGGGTTTGAGCTTTCCTTCTTCGCGCGCGTTCGTCGGGCGAAGGAAGATCCGCCCGCGTTTGCACAGAGGCCCAATCGCACAATCTTTGCGCGGCCTGCAAGGAAGGCGTTGCGAAAGCAACGCTGGTAACGAAGGGATGTGTGTTTGTTTGGTTGGACTGCGTGGTTATGTTTGTTTGTGCATGTTGTGTTTTGATTTGCGCGGTTGATGTGATCCGTGTGTGTGCGTGTGCGCCTGCCTGCCTGCCTGCCTGCGTGCGTGTGTTGTGCGTGCGTGCATGCCTACGTACTTGCGTACGTGCGTGCGTGCGCTTGCGTGCGTGCGTGCGTGCGTGCGTGTGCGTGTGCATGTGTGTCTTTGTCTTTGTGTGTGTGTGTGTGTGTGTGTGTGTGTGTGTGTGTGTGTGTGTGTGTGTGCGTGCGTCTGTGTGTGTGTGTGTTTGCGTGTGTGTTTGTGGGTGGGTGTGCTTGTGCGTGTTCGCGTGGGTGTTTGTGTGTGTGTGAGTGTTTGTGTTTGTGAGTATGCATGTGTGCACGTTACGCCGTTACGCGTGCGATGACCCAATTGGCATGTTGGCCTTTGACCGCATTCCTTTCCTTGTCCCCTGGATAAGCCCTGAGTGCTGCTTTGAGCCAGTGCTTGCTTTGTCTCGTTGTGCAATCTGACGATTTTGCAGCACCTGTACAGCTTTTAGTGTCCCTTCCAGAAGTCAAGTTAGTTCCAGACCCAAGGCTGGACATGCTTTGAGTTTTGCCGATTTGGCTGTTTTTGTTTGATTGTGTTTACCGTGTTTTGATTTGCGTGTTTGGTGCTATGCATGCGTGTGCCTGTGCATGTGCATGCATATGCGCGTGTATGTGTATATGCGTGTGCAGTTGTGTGCATGTGTGCGTGTGTTTGTGTGTGTGTGTGTACATGTGTGCATGTGTGTATGTGCAGGTGCGCATGTGTATGTGTATGTGTCCGTGCGCGTAGGTGTCGTGTGTGTGTGTGTTTTCTTTGTTTGGTTGCCCTTTCTTTTTCTTTTTTTTCTGTGTTTTTGTTTGTTTGGTTGGTTGGTTGGTTGGTTTGTTGTTGATTGGGTGGGTGGTTGGCTGGCTGGCTGGCTGGCTGGCTCGTTTGAGTGTTTGTTTCTTGCTTTCGTTCTTTCTTTCCGTCTTTCTGTGTTTTGCTTGTTTGTTTGTTTGTTTGTTTGTGTGTGTGTTTGTGTGTTTGTGCTTGTTTGTTTTTGTTGACTGTTTGTTTCCTTGATTGATTGTTTGAATGCTGATTGTTTACACCTTTTTGCGTGTTGCTCCTCCATTTTGACACAAACTTGACTGCTTGCGCATGCTGGCACACACACACAACTTCTAAGGGAACACAAAACGCCTGAACATACTTAGATGTTCCGTCGAGCGGTAGGTTTGTCTACACTGCCACGCAGCCGCCAAAACACAGGCAGCCTCCGTGCCTTTGCGGGCCACCTCTCGCATTGCTGGGCAGAGGGTTTTCTGAAGACCGTTGCGCAACACTTATCACGTCTTCTCACAAGTTTGGGCAATGTGCTCAAGCAACCAACCTCTGGGTGTTCTGTAATAAGGAAACCCTAAGAGGGTTGCTTACACAAGAACTGGCTGAAACCATGGTTCAAGCAGAGAATATCAAGAAGTGGTTTAACCCATGAGGTGGTTTCACAAGTGGTTCGAAGGGGCCCGGCCCAACCCTGCTCGCTGAGCCGGGCTTCCGCTGGCTCCG